CCACAGCAATGAACGAGGAAAACTTTAGTCCATAGGTTATAGAGAACAATAAAAGAAAAAAACAGAAGAAAGCTTAATCCATCCGTTTCAAAAGGCTTGCATAAATTCCATCCATGAAGATTGCATTTAAAAAGTAAGATAACCACTGTCCAAAACCATTCCAAATTTAATTCCGCTGCTTAATTCTTCTGTTCTCCAATTTGAATTAATTTTAAGTCTTTTATAGGCAGTCTCTTTTTAAGACAGTAAAAGTTCCTCACCAGCTGCAAACACTTTCTCTTTCCGTATCCTTCCATTTTGGATCCGCCCCGACTTCATCAGCCTTGGCTGGATTTTTTGTCGCTGGCTTGAAGAACTTCTCTTGCTTCTATCAGGGACTTTGCGATGTCCCTGAGGTCAGCAAGACGTATTCTTCCTGTTCACCGTCTCTGCAGGACGGTTTAGGTCCAATTGGACCACCCAGCGGCAAAAGTATGCGATGTTGCTTCTCCTCCTCATTCCAGTGCGCTATTCTTGCTACTTTGTCATGCTGCTGCTTGTAGTCAGTCTGTGTGACTGTCTTGCAACAGCTAACTAAGTGCCCCACTGTTTCCTTGCGAAAGTGGCACTTGCTGTCAGTTGCTTTCTTCAAAATCCTGGCTTTGTATGCCTTTGTTCTTATAAGGCTTGGTCCTGTGCAACCAGAATCTGCCCTGTCTCTTTCTCCAACTTTCCTGTTCTTAGCCTTTGCCAGGTCTTATTACCTGCTTTGCCTGGTATTATCGTATTTTTCAGAGTATAAGACGGACCTTTTTCCCTCCTAAGTATAATTGTGATTTTCTCTTCACATTATACTAGTTTCTGTATCTCATTGTCCTTCAGATATTTTTCCAATGCTGTTTTTTCTTTTTTAATTCTCTAGTATATTTTCTCCAGTTTTCTCTTCTTCTTCTTCTTCTTCTTCTTTCTCCACCTCTTCCTCTTCCTTCTCCTCCTCCTCTCCCAACTTCACTGTATCTTCTGGTGTTTACACAGAAGAAACACTGACATAAAACTAATTAAAGATATGAAATTAACAGGCTAAAATGTTCGGCTAACAAAAGCACAAAATAAAACAGGAGCCACTGAACAATAACAAACATCAAAGCAGGTTTTCCAGGCATTTGGAAGCCCAGGAGGGAGGGGTCCCATCCTTATCTCGGAGGGGGGGAGGTTGCTGTTCCAGATGGCGGAGGCCCAACACAGTAGGCAATGTTTAATGGCAGGGCTTGGAGCACACACACTGCTAGAAATTATTGGACCAGCAGAAATGACTGGAGACATGCAGTCACGCAGAGCTTTATTGGTAACAACCCCTTGAATGCCACCTGGAAGTCATCTGGTAAACAAAACAACTCATAGAAGAGTGGTGACACACAGGTACACCAAGAAACGCCCATGGCTGCCTCTGCAGCTGCATTTTGAACCAGTTGGGGCTTCTGGGTGGCTTCCAGGGCCACGAAAGCTCGTTGCAACAATCCAATTGTGGGGTGGCCATTGTAAACCCTTCCTCAGCTTGGACTCCTAAGTAGAAGCGATCCTTAGCTCTGTGTGTTACAAAAGGAAAAGTTTTATTAGAGGTCAAGTGAATTGCAGTAAAGCAAAAGCAGAACTGAATTTCCTGGTTAACTTTCCCCATCCAGTTCTTCTCCCCCCTTGGCCCCTCACTGTCCAATTATCCTTGAGTACATGGTTTCTGCAATGGTCCTGCAACAGTCTTGAAGCCTCTGAGAGGCAGGACTCTCCCTACCACCAACTCCATCAGCTTCGCTTTCCCCTCCCTCCTGCCAAGATGGCGCAGTGGTTAAATGCAGCACTGCAGGCTACTTCAGCTGACTGCAGTTCAGCAGTTCAGCTGTTCAAATCCCACCAGGCTCAAGGTTGACTCAGCCTTCCATCCTTCCGAGGTGGGTAAAAGGAGGACCCGGATTGTTGTTGGAGGCAATATGCTGACTCTGTAAACTGCTTAGAGAGGGCTGAAAGCCCTATGAAGCGGTATATAAGTCTAACCATTGCTATTGCTATTGCTGCCTCCCCTCCCCCAAGTTCATAGCAGGCTGGCAGCTCTGAGAGCCAGTACGATGGCTGCCTAAAGGACAACCCAGCACACAAGATGAACTAGGCACAGACCCATTCTGGCTACAGCTATGACAGGTTCTACAAGCAACAGGTGCAGATCTAAAGGACGTCCAGGTCTTGATGGGGAAGTGCAGCTCCATCCAAGACCAAGGATGGTGACTTGCCCAACCCAAGGCCTCCAACAGCCCCTCGGCCTTATTAGAACTGAGCTGAAGTCTGTCCGGCCCCATCCAGACTTTGGCCAATGCATTCCACCTGTGCCCATTGGGATGTAGAGCTGGGTTTGAGGCTGAGGCTGAGGCTGAGGCTAGATGGGCCTTGTGCCCCAGAGATGCCAAGAGACACCTTACAGCAGAACTCCTCCATTGCCCAGGGGTCCAAGTGAGGGTTTTGGAAAGGATACTGGACAAAGCTCTGCCAATCCCGTCCTTAAATGTTTCTGATCCAAGGGTGGGCATTCCCCTCCAGCCCCACCTCAATTCTTCCAGGCAAAGCTGCTAAGCCAGCTCCTTCATGGGACTCTGATGGGCTCCCGCAGCTTCATGTTTTACTTCTCTGGAAAGGGTACGATCCAAACTCATCAAAGCAGCCCTCGAGACACCACCCTGTGTCTCAGATGCACATGGAGGACTGTGGATGGATGTGAACAAAGTTGAGAAGAATGTCTCTGGCTTCTATCAACCTTTGGAGAAATCCCAAGCCTTAGCACCGTTCATTCCTCCATTTTATTTGTTGGTTTATCAAATGTATTTTTCTGCCTATCTCGCAGCTCAGGTGATTCAATCCACATGGACCGAGGCTGTAGAATCTAATCTTTCAAATTTGGGTTACTCTCCCTCCACAGTCACGAAAAGGGACTATGATCAGGCAAAACAAGCCCTGAAGCAAAGGAAAAGGGGTAGAGAGGGGCAAGCAGATCTAGGGAAGGCCTTCCCGTGCCCAGGACATAACAGATATGTTGGTCACTGCTGCCTGTGAGCCACCTTAGACAGCACAGGATGGGCAAGTAGCCCCAAGTGAAATGAGTGCTGAAACAGCAGGTCAACTGGAGTGGCGGTCAGAAAGCAGAAAGCCCACACAATCTTGCGTGTCTCGCCTTTAGTCATCACAGTTGTGTTCAGAGCTGCAAGAGGAGGCATGAAAGTCTGGAAGGAAAACCATCCACCAAATGGATCGCTGGCATTGCAGGCTTATGATTCAACATGTGTTGATGTTGAATTTATTGGCTAAGAATAGGGCAGAGCTGAAATCTTCTAAATGTGGGATTTGGCAATCATTGTTGTGCTTCGTGCCAAATTGTGCTTTAATTAGGTGCTGAAAGTAAGGTGAGTAATTGCCATTTTTATGAAACTTACTTGCCTCAGATTTAATATTTGTTTGAATAGTTTTACAAAACTATTTTTTTTTTAAAAAAAATTGAAACAGCACCTTCTGTTAAGTTTGGGTGAATAGCTTGACTTTCGGCATTTGGCGCATAACAGCCTCAGCTGTCCCACTGAACCCCAGAGATTAGAAAAGAAAAAAAGGGTGAAGGCAGGTGGAAAAGAGGAAGGTCAAGATGTATTTTAATGCCTATGGATCTTGGCCCAGCAGAGGAAGAGCGTGTGGTCAAGTCAGCAGCTAACAAAAAAGGGGAATGGCCAAAGTTGCCCTCAGGTATTTGGGTTTCAGGAGCAACTGGGCCTCCCTCCTGCAAACGAAAAGGCTCTTGCAATCCAGGGGCAGCCCCCCCCCCCCCAGCAGCCCTGGCAATGCAAGATCCTTGTATGGATGGAAAGATTCAATTTTGCAGTTTGGCGTATTGAGCTGAAACAATGAAGGATTTGGGGTGTTAACACGAAATGCATCAATTTCCACCCTTCCCATCAAACAGAAATTCAGAAGCCCTCATTTGTGGTTGTGTACTCCTACACCATTTTTTCAGGGGCTGAAAAGGGGGGATTTTATTTGAGGGAGGGGCTGCAAGTCAATCTTGACTTCTGGCAACTGCCTGGAAAATTTGCTGCAGTTTTCTAGGCAACCTTTTCAGAAGAGGTTTGCCCTGCCTCCCCCCCCCCCCCAACTTCTCTGGGATGAGAGGGAGGTCCTGGCTCAAGAGTGAAAGAAGCCACTGGAACTCACTGCCCCTTGATCTGGACTGAAGTTTTCAACCAATGCGACTGGAGAGGGGAAACTGTTACCTTTATCTTGAATAATATTTTTATAGTATACACAACAGGTGGTTTTGGACTTACAACAGTTCATTTAGTGACAGTTCAAAGTTACAATGACAGCAAAAAGGTGACTTATGACCATTCTTTTCACACTTATGGCCACTGCAGCATTCCCATGATGAACATGTGATCAAAATTCGGATGCAGCTGGAACCTATGGTATATGTGGGCGACTAGGAGAACAGCAGGGACTTAAAATGGGGAAAGTTAACATAGGTACCGTAATAGATCCCTGAATCTTGCAATGAGAAGATGTGGCTTAGAGACCTAATAATGAGGAAAGAAAGAAAAACTGGGCTGTGAATGACTGTCACCGTGGGGGGGAGAGGGGAGGTTTGTATGTTTAAAACGGCATTTGTATCTGTATGTTTTACTTTATATTGTTATGTATGATTTGTCTTGCTTATGTCGTTGTATTTATGTATTTATGTATTTATCTTCCTGTTTTTTAAAGGTAATAATGTTTAATAAAAATTATATTAAAAAAAAAAAAGAAAAGAAATAATAAGACCTCCCCGAAAATGAGGCCAAGCGCTTTTTTCGGGGGGGTGGG